ATTTTATTTCTAATTTTGACGTAGTTATAACCTCACATTACCACTATTATCTCTCCGAATTATCACTCATCAAAACCTTTCAAACTCTATCATTCATCAAAACCCTTCAAACTCTACTCTTACCGATCTTTCTAATCATCGGTAATCAAGTGATTAGGGTTTGTACAATTGCTCCTCCTAAGTCAAATTTCAATCAATCTCAACCATTAAAATCTAACATTCTACCATCAAAAGACTCATCAATCTCTCTTCTTCAAAAATCTCGAGATTTTGCTCTCTATTCGTTGCTGGAATATAAATTCTGATAATAAAATGATATTTTAAAAGTCTATAGGTGAAAAAAAAAATGTAATTAAACAAGTATTTGGGTGGAAAAAGTCGTTAACTCATTTTTAATTTATGTACAAGGTATAGTCCATGTTTAGTAGATCACGCGGCGTCGTTTCTGTTCACTTTATAAATATGAAGGCTCCCTGCCCCTCTTGGCTGGTGCTGAACTTTTCTCGTCCTTTGATTTCTTTATAGGATTATGGAAAATAAAAACAAATTTTTTTTTCTTTTTGTTAAAATATTTTGTTTTGATTTATTAGAAATAATTACATGAGAAAATAATTTATTATACTTAATATAAATTATGATATATCAATGTGGATAATACATCATAAGAAATGCGTGTTCAATTTGATGAGCAGTGGGTAGCGTAGGTGAAGCCAATTTGATGGTGGGTTCACCTAGCATTTAGGATTCATTTGTTCATTTTTTTTAATTTAAATAATCGGTGGGTGTTTGGGCCAGTTTATCACACCTCGACTGATCATTCAGGAGCGTAGAACTATCGATCGAGTAAAAATTCAAGTAATCACTCTTATTATTAGCAATCGAAGAGGAACTTGAATTCATAAGCTCTTAGTAATACATCAAAGAGTCTTAGATAAAACTCCAATAGTAACCCATGTTCAATGTTCCTTTTACTACAGTATTTCCCTTTGATCTTGACACAATTTATTTATTAAAGTATCAACTTGCCATTATATTAATCTAAATTTTATATGGTGACTTACAAGTAACTTTATTATTTTTTGTTAATATTTCAATATTGTGATTCAATGTCTTGTGAATTGTAATAAAGCATCTTACACTTTTATAATATAAGTGTAACGTTTTTTAAATACAAGGGCAATATTTTCGCCAATCCCAACCTTTAACTTAAACCGTAATTAAGAGGTTAATAATATAATTAACAGTATTATTATTATCGTAAAATAGGGTTGGTAATTTGGTTGATAACCAACGGATTAAAGAACATTTTATTCTAGTAAGAAGAGTTTAATTTTAAATTCATGAACTTGAGATGGATTTGAATTTGATACAAAGAAATCAACCATCAGAGTTATTGTTTAGGTTGGGATTTATGCTCAGACATAGACACAAACATATTATAGACCCTTATCAATAATATTTAAAGTTGTTAACGTTGTTGATATTGTTTTATTTTAATTCTTTTTCAACCATATATTTTGTAATTATTTTTATCACGGATATCTAATTAATTCTAAATAATGTCTATACAGTATTTGTTATGCCTCAAAAGTCACGCTTATATCAGCCTAATAAATGTCTTTTTGTACTAGCTGTCAAACCCATATCTCCTCAAAGATATTCATACCAACTCTATCTCTTTTCAAAAGATGAATGGACAAGAGCCTTTCATGTGTCAAGGCAACTTGCAAAACATTCCTTACATTGAGTGCAAATGTGTATAAATTGACATTTTCTTCCCGAAGAGAGGGGCTAGGCAGATGAGAGTTAAGCATAGATTTGAGCTCAATTCTTTCTCTCTGTAAACACTGTATTTCTTCATCTTAGTATGCCTTATGGGCAATATCATAGAAATAGTCAGAGATCAATAAAATAACAGTGGATGTAGGAGTCGCTTGTTTGAGCATCCGAACCACTATAAAAACCTCTTTTGTCAACCTATTATTTATGTTTTTTGCAACATATATAATCTCGGCTCTATATTCAAATCTCATGGATCCATCACGTGTAATTTCTAAAACCCTCTTAGCACTTTGCACATGCGAGTCGTTGGCGTCCAAAATCAAGCGTCAACAATTTGGTGGCCCATGCAGGTCTCAAACCTGCGTCCAAGTTCCCTGATGGCATGGTTAGATCTCAAACTTGCGTCAGAATTCTCCAATCGCGTGGCCAGATCGCACGCGTCAGAGTTCTTCGATCGCGTGGCCAGATCACAGATCGCACGCGTCAAAATTCTCCAATATTGTGGCCAGATCGCACATGTTAGAATTCTCCAATCGCATAGCCAGATTGCAGATCGCACGCCTAGGTCGTCTTGATCCTCGGCTTTAGATTGCTGATCTTTAACTTCAAATTGCATGTTCAGATCGCTGATCTCTTATGATATGAGGTCGAGCTCGTTATGCTCAGGTAGAACTCATTATGACCTTTTAGGTCGAACTCGTGATGACCTTTCAGGTCGAGCTCGTTATGTCCTTTCAAGTCGAGCTCGTTATGACCTCTCAGGTGTAGCTCGTTATGACCTTTTCAAGTCGAGCTCGTTATGACCTTTTCAGGTCGAGCTCGTTATGCTTTCAGGTCGAGCTTGTTATGACCTTTCAGGTAGAGATCGTTATGACCTTTTCAGGTCGAGCTCGTTATGCTTTCAGGTCAAGCTCGTTAGTCAAGCTCATTATGACCTTTCAGGTCGAGCTTGTTATAACCTTTCAGGTGGAGCTCGTTATGACCTTTTCAGGTCAAGCTCGTTATGCTTTCAGGTCGAGCTCGTTATGACCTCTCAGGTCGAGCTCGTTATGACCTCTCAGGTTGAGCTCGTTATGACCTTTCAGGTCGAGCTTGTTATGCTTTCAGGTCGAGCTCGTTATAACCTTTCAGGTCGAGCTCGTTATGACCTTTTCAAGTCGAGCTCGTTATGCTTTCAGGTCGAGCTCCTAACAGATCGCGATCAACTCCTAGCTCTCAGCACTCAATCGCGCCCGGAATAGTTCGAGCTTTTCAGTTCGAGACTGCAGCCTATAGTGCAACATCCATTCAGATCAAAGACCTTGGTTTCTGAAGCGCGATTACGCACTCCAAAAACTGGGGGACTTCTATTATGCCTCAAAAGTCACGCTTATGTCAGCCTAATAAATGTCTTTTTGTACTAGCTGTCAAGCCCATATCTCCTCAAAGATATTCATACCAACTCCATCTCCTTTCAAGAGATGAATAGATGAGAGCCTTCCATGTGTCAAGGCAACTTGCAAAACACTTCTTACATTGAGTGCAAAGGTGTATAAATTGGCATTTCTCTTCCCGAAGAGGGGGGTTGGGCAGATGAGAGTTAAGCATAGATTTGAGCTCAATTATTTCTCTCTGTAAACGCTGTATTTCTTCATCTTGGTATGTCTTATGGGCAATATCATAGAAATAGTTAAAGATAAATAAAATAACAGTGCATGTAGGAGTCGCTTGTTTGAGCATCCGAACCACCATAAAAATCTCTCTTGTCAGCCTATTATATTATGTTTTCTGCAACATATATAATCCCAGCTCCATATTCAAATCTCATGGATTCATCACGTGTAATTTCTAAGACCCTCTTAACACTTTGCATGTACGAGTCGTTAGCGTCAAAAATCAAACGTTAACAGTATTAAATTACAAGACTTATATATAACGGAATTGACAGTTTTATTTTTTGTAAAAAATAATTGACACAACAATCCAATTGAACTTAGTTTAAATATAATTGTTATTAGCTCCATCATTCTTAATGTTTTGAGAGAAAATCAAAACGAAGGTACATGTTTATGAAAAAAAAAAATAATAATAAGTTCAACAAGACAAAATATATGACATTTAACAAGATAAGACCGTTTAATTTAATTAAAAAAATAGTTATGATATTGGAAAGTCTATTATACCCTCATTTATTATTTTTTATAATGTTTACTATGTTATAAATAATCAATTCATTTCATTCAATTTAACTAATAAATTCTAACATACCATTATGAGATGGTTTCAAAATATACAAAATGACTATTCAACCCTTCTTTATTGATAAAAATTAAAAACTATTTCAGTTAATTGATCTTACTTTGATTTGGTTTATTTATTAACACAAGTTGTTATGTTGTATTCTAACATATCCAATAACTACCTTTATTTATTTTTTATTTCTGTAAAAACATTATATATTGAATAAAATATAAACTGTATCGATTTTGAGGTTTTGTTTTTAATTATTTCATTGATTATGTAATATACATACAAACCAAGCATTAGCTTTTAATGAAAAACTTTTATAAAGATGAACTTCACTTGTTTGTTAGACGTAAGAGTGAACCTAAATAAATAATTTTTCAGATCGATCATAAAAAAGAAACCTTATTTTTTAATTAAAGAAAATAGAAAAATCAGACAAATGTTAGAGGTTAGATTTATGTTTTTGTTTTTATTTATTTCCCTTTTTTGTTATTTTCTTATATGTTATGACTTTTGACAATAACTATTAATATTTTTTAATATCTTATTTGACTTTTAAATAATTATAAAATAGATTTATATTTATACTTTTTTTTTTAAATTAAATTAAATGGTCTTATATTAGTAAGTTTTTTTTTTTTTTTTAAGTTTGTATCTCTTTTTAATTTTTTTTTTTTCATAAACGTGTGACCTGGTTTGAATTTTTTCTAATTTTTTTAAATATTTAAATATGTTTTTGCATTTATTTTGTAATTACTTTGGTTAGTTAATATGCCGTCGTCACTTTAAAAGAAATAAAAAATAAGCAATTGCCACGTTGACAGGTTGCAAGTACTCTTCGTTACCGCCGCATTATCTGATTAATTCTCGCTGTATCATTCAAAGCGCGGGAAAATTAACATCTCAATTAAATTGGCGCCACAAGAGCCCTAACCCCATTTTCGTTACACTCTCACCTCAGATCTTCTCTCTCCACCTCTCCCAGTATCTAAGCCAATCGGTTCTCACTTCTTCCAGAACCTTAACAGTTGTTCACAAATAAAGATGGACATGGAAGGCTTATCTGTGATCTGCGCGGGTCTCGGTATGGTTGAAGAGGACGAACGAGGCAATCGGATTAGCTATTGCAAGGGCGAGTACTGTTTAGGTAAGTTTCGTCAAAAGAATAAAAATTGAAAACATGATCTATCAAGTTACATTTAGAGTAATTTGATTTTCCCAAATTTTAGATAATTTAAAGGATTTGCTGAGATTCTTGAGGCGTGACGATCCACAAACGCGAGAAGTGTTTAAGCAAGTCTGTAAATGGAACATTGTGTCTAAAGATTTGATACCGATTATTGAACACTGTCAAGATGATCGTAATCTTGTCTTAAATGCAGGTAATTTACAGTTAATTTGTTTTTGTTTATATATTTATATATAATTTATTCAGATGAACTTGTAATGATAATTTTCATACTTGGCATTTTGCAGTGAAGGTTTTGGTGTTTTTGACTATGCCCGTTGAACCTTCATCCAATGATATTCCTCAACAGATAGAGTATCTATGGGGTTTGAAGTCTTCAATTACATGTAGTGACACAGTCCCGGTGATTGTATCACTTCTCGAGGGACCCCTAGAAAATTTGGAATGGTAAGCTTAGAATTGGATTTGTGACCGAGTTGACAAATTATTACCAATTTTATTGTTAAAAGGCAATTAATGCTTATCATGTATCATCTTATATGTTTAATTTTGGTGAATTATGTTGATTTGTTTTATCTATTGTGATTATTACTGTTAATTGATAGTTATAAATGTATACAGTGAAGCATTCACGGATGATGACTGGAAGTTGGTACAATTAGTTCTGACTTTCTTCCGCAATGTTCTTGCTGTCCAAGATATTCCGCTGCGGCAGAAGGCTGAGGGTTCTGCTAGTCAATTCATTTCCTTGAGAGATGGATTTCTGGAACTTTTGTTCAATGAGAATGTGATGGACATAATTCTTGTGATAACTCCGCATGTTGGTGGTTCTTCTGGTTATTTTCGACAGGACAACTTGCTTTTGCTGGAAATTTTTCATTACATATTTATAGGTCAAGATCCCGAATTCATTGCCTCTGCTCATCATAAGAGTTCCAAGGTGGGCTACTTTATATCTCTCTTTAACTTTTTGGCAAACAGGGAAGGTTAGACTGAATGAGCTAAGAAACTTTGAATAGAGTAATGATCAATTGGGAAGAAAACAGTACTTTTTAAATATGTTTATGAAAGTTATAAAATGAAACTAGAAACCTGATTTGGTGTTCACAAGTTCGAAGAATATTTTTGATAGCAATATTTTGAAAATTGAAATAGTGAAATGCTTTTCATCAACTATTTAAAAAAGAGTAGATCAGTGAAAATGGATTCTTTTTTTTCCCTAAAAAATAACTGTTAAATATATTAAAAACATCTAAACAATTTCTTTGTTTTCCCTTCAAAATATCTGTTAAATGGATTAAAATTTCTGAACAGGTTTTCGTAAAACAACTATTATCAAGTTTTCTCTAATTTTGCATTTGAAAATTGAAAATAAAAAAGTACTCTTGGAGCATTTCTATTAGACTTATTGAAATTTGCCATGAATAGATCGAGAATTTTTTTTTTAAATAGATTGAGAATTTTTTTTTAAACTTTTAGAATTGCTCGATCTATGAAGCTTCTGTCCATCAACGTGACCATTGATGTAGTTACTCAATTGATTGGCTTTATAAGTCTAATATTTGGTTCTAATGACTTTTTACGTGATAGATGGGTGAAGAAACGAAGGATGCTCTTGATAGTCTCAAATTACTAATAGCAGAGGAAGAAGAGAAAAGAAGGCTTTCAAGACTACACCAGAAAATGGTTCGTCATTCACAGTTTAGTGGAACATTTACAAGGCTTACCATGGTATGAAATTTCACTTATTACCGATGTTTATGAAGAATTCTGTACAGAATTTACTAACATTAGCAATTTTTCTTTTAAAAGGATGGTTCTAAAGCAGTGATCAAGGGGAACCCCACTTCTGCTTCTCAGATCCCTGTGCTTAAACCTCATAAAGGTGGTAAGGGTGTAAGTAATAAGATTGTGTGGGAACATGGAAGCTTACCTTCAACGAAGGATACTATTTTAGGGTTGCTCCATGATTTTGTGGACCAGTTTCTATCAGGGAGTTACAATGGTATATATCTGGAATCTCAATGCTTACATTCTTGCACTTTTTTCTTCTCCATGTTGTTATTGCTAATATTCAGATTTAAACCAAATGTGCATCAGTTTTGATGCAGTCAATCTGTGAGGATATTGAAAAGGAGCATCAAGCAATACAGACCAGTGATATCATTATTTTCTTTCGAGTTGCTCAGTTCATTACTTCATTTCAATATCACAAGATTGTTTCTTCCAAGGTGAGGGAGAAGGGTACTCATATTTCTAGTTTTTGAATCTTCTAAGCTGAGGAGGATTCACTGTAGTTTTAGGAGCTGCTAGCTCACAACAGTCTTATTTCAATTTTCCTAACAAGAAAATATTCTTTGGTTAAATTTTATTGATATGGTGTTGACTTGATTTGAATGTTAGTGAAAGTTGAAAATGAATCTGTGACATTGATCCCAAGATGTGCTCTCATTTTGTTTTGTTCTTTATGTGACTAATTGTCCTTGAAAAGCTTAGTTGGCTTTTTAATTATAGCTAGTGTTCATTCAATAACCGTTGGTGGGAATTTATTTTATTTAACAGCTCAATGCAGAAAGAGACACATCTGAAGCTTCCCCTACAGAATGTGCTGACAACACTTTGTTTAAAGGCAACATTTGTGGACCTATTGCATTTACAATGGACGAATCAATGTTTCAATTGGTCATTTCAAAATGGCGTATTGCATTTGATGGCTTGAAGGAAACAAAAAACCATAAGTTTCTATCTGCTGCGGGTTCTCTTATGAAAAATATGGTGATATATACTTCCTGGTTGACTAAAGTTCTTAATCCTTGCATCTCTAAGTTCCTTGTCCTTGCTTTGCAAAATATTATTGATGTCACTTAGGCTCCCATATATGCCTTTAGTTTGACTTTGAATGTGTGCTAAAATTATGTAAAATTTCTGCATGATTTTACCATTCCAAGTTAGAATTGTTACTTTATATTAGATTTGTGTTAACACCTTATATTTTTAACTGATTGAATTCTTTTGTATCTATTTTTCTTATTGATCGTTGTTGTGTGAACAAAGGAATTTGTATAAAATGAAATTTTCATTTTTCATTTCCTATATTTTGAAACATTTCCACACACAGATAGTTTTTGTTATATATTCAGAACTTGTGTAAGAGAAGTTTACACAAGTTCTGGATAAAATGATGACACTCTTTGTTTTATTTCATATATTAAGAATTGATCTTTGAAGTTTCATCGTATTATAGAATTCTGGTCTAGCATCCAACATTTGATACATGAAATTTCTAGAATGAAAATTCTTGAGCAAGCATATGGTAGTTATCATTGTTATTTTTCCTTTAATGTTTATTAGATGAATCATGACTGCATATATGTAATTCTTTGTCAAGCTATTAAAAGTAGAAAAACGCATTAGTTTTGTTACATACAAAAAAACTTGCTATCAATAGATATCTTCCTTCTAAGTAGGCTAACAGGTTTCTCGAAAAACCTTGTGTAGTTGAACCTTTTCATTTGTCACAAGATCAAAAAGACTTAAAAGTTGGCAAAGTGAAGTTTCACTTACTGCACATTCGTACATTGCATATTGCTGTAAGTTTATATTGTGAGGATGTTGAACATCGATCAATCTTCTGTATATAGCATCGTCTAGTTCCACCTTATAATGCCTTTTTAAATCTAAGTACAGTTTCATATATGTGCTTGCCAATGCAAAATGTTCAATGTAAATATTCTGTGATCAATTTGTGTCTCTAAGGAAAAAAGACACCGAGTGTAACATTGATGAGAAAAATTTTTTCAAATATTGCAGTTGGTAATAAAAAGACAACCTCATGGTTAACTGTACACAATCCTTTTGAAAATGAGGTGGATTTGATTGTGGATGCTCAAATCTATAACTTGAAGTTTCAATTGCAATATTACTTCTTAACATGAATTTATCTTGCCCATGTTGATTGACTTGTATTTTAACTTCACAAATTCTTACAAGCCAAACTTGGCACTGGCTTTTCTTTCATGTAGATTCGCATTAGATTTGGTGCTTAAGGCATGCCAGAAGATTCTAGGAGGCACAAACACGCGCATCCTTCTATACAAGTTTTTTACGATCAGACTGAACAAGGATGACACAGTTTCTCTTGAACCTAATCAAGGTGTTTGACACTCACAAACACCCAAAAGGTTTCCCCTTCAAGCTTTAAATTCTTTTTGCTGATTTTGTCTTATACATGAAATTATTATTTATGTGAACTTGGTATTGCAGATTATAATGGGATAAATGATCATGCTGCACAACCTTTCACCTTGTTTCTTTTCTACTTTCCTATTTAATTTGATTCTAACATTTTCGTTAGGGACAGTTATTATAAATACGTAAGGGTGTACAAGTACACATGTTGTGTGCAAAAAACCATATACTTGGTGATGCATGTCTAGAAATTTGTCAAACAAAATATGGCCTCTGATGCTATTTTTGTATTCTTCTTTCCAGTGATCTTGCAATTTAGTAGAAATGATATAGTACTTGTACGACTCATGGAGATCTTCAATCACGTGTTGTGTTAGGGTATGTTTCTTATTTGTGGGTGATTAGGTTGGAAACTGGTTAATTGTGGTTATCTTAGGTTGTATCTTCATCCACATCACATAATTAATGTTATTGTAATACCAGACATATTACTCTATATAGCTAAAACATTCTGGAACATAGGGATTTGATTAACTAGATATTGAAAGTTCTGAATGCTTTATTATGTGAAGTCTCCTTGTGTTTGTATATTTTGCATTTTTATGTGCTAGTTGATGTTTCTGAACGTTTTATTTTGTGTAGCCCTCTTTTGTGTGTGTATGTAGTTCATAATATTTCTTCTTTGATTTTGGTATTTATGCACATGCCTTTCTTTTCTGCTGCAATAATGCAACAAAAATTTGTTTTGTGATTTAGGTTTCTAGAAAATCAGGAAGGGGGAAAAAAGGAGATTGCCAAGGGCAATAAGGAATCTGGAAATGAATTAATTGAGGATCATGCTACCATTCGAATGAGGACTGCATCTCAAATGGTGAACCTCTGCAGATGATTGCATGTCACGAAGGGAACCCAGATATGCAGCTTCTGCTCAAAAACATGACATCCCTGCTAAATTGATAAGCCTGAAATGTTGGCGGACATTGAGAATCCTGATTCAATCTGTTCAGAAAAAAACAACAGAGGGACTGATCAGCTGATGATCATCTTTGTTGCAGTACTGGGGATTCTTCTGAGGGTGAGCAGCCAGTACAACTGATGAAGTTGATTTTAAGGTTTCTACTTTCCTTTCAGCTTTTGCAAATTGCAACATCATTCAAAAACTGTGCTGGTTCTGAAGTTTTATAAGCAATTCCAACCGTACCAATCATTGCTAATTTGCATGTTGCGGCGCATCACTGATGACCTGGAGCTCTCTCCAATGCTATATCAGGTAAGGATTTGAAACTGTTGTTAGAGGCTATGAACAGTCCCATGAATGTAACTCTCACATATGTAATATTTCTGGACAAATTATTGCAGTTATCGCTCCTCACTATATCTATGACATCTTGGCTGAGCAGAGGGCATGCCCAGACAAAGATTATGCAAATATTGTTGATTTTTTGACCAGATGATCCGAAGAATGCTTAAACGAATGAAAAACCAGCCCCTACTTTTTGTGAAATTCTCTTCTGGAAGACTTGCAAAGAATGTCATTACATTATTGCTGATATTTATTCATGAACTTGGCAACATAAAGAAAAAACCGCAATGGCAAAATAGCTTAGAGTTGGAGATATGGGTCATCACAGGCCAACGGATGGGTTCACAGAAGCATAGCAGATGCATTGGGTGATGATGAGCGGATGTTGTGATTTCCCATGAACTAGGGTATCAGAAGTAACACTGGGCTTATAATGCTAACAGTCTCTTTTTTTAGTATTTTACCTATTTGGTTCAATAATAAAAGCTTTCAAACACTAAGTTGGATGAGCACCAGATTTAGAGCAGTCTGTTGAAGTTGATTAACCTGCTGATTTCATAATTTTTTGTTTCTTGATGCATAAATAGAGTTATACCTTTAATATTCTCATAAAACATCATAAATAATACCCATATTCTTGTGCAGAATGGAGAAATTTCCTTTGAAGGAGGAAGGCATGGCTTCTTTCATAGTCAGCGAGTTGACGAGAAAGAAAATTCTGAGAAGTATGATATTTATGACAATCTTTGATATATTATTTTCTTATATAAAGTACTTCAATTTAAACTTCTGTGTATTTGGGTTGTGCGTGGGGAATTTTCATGCAAGAGCAATCGGAAAGGTTTCTAAAAGAAAAGAAGACTTTTTCTCAGTGAGAGTGGAACATAAAATCTCGGAAATCTATGAATAGGTTTGCTTCAAGTCTATCTTTAACCATGGAAGGCATTTTCCTAAAAATTATCTCAGTACCATATTATATTATATATATATATTATAATCACCACTGGTCATATTTTACATTAATGAGTTGATGTGTGATTGTTTTTTATCTCACTCCTAAGGTTAAGATATGCTTATTTTTGTCATATTCTTACTTTAATAATAGTTTAGTAATTTCACAGTTTGTCTGACTGCATCGTTTTGATATATTATGGTTGTTGTAGATTCAAAGATGATCGAACTGTAGTCATCTTATAGCGAATCCCTAGACGCTGATGGTAAAGTTTCAGCTGCTCAAGTTTCCAACAAGCTTAACAACTAGGATTTAAATTCCATCAAAGAAAAGGTGCGCCATACTGGTGTACTTTACTGCTGGTCCTGATAACCTGGAGAGAACAAAAAGCTGTTGAAACCGAAATAATGTTCACAACTCAATGACCAGAAGGAAGTCTTCTGAGGCAACCTTGTCAGTACTTTACTAATTTCTCATGTTTTAATCATCTTTATAGTTGCCAAGATACTTTCTTTTAGTGTAAGAATGAGACACACTTGATGAAGTTATGATTTGGAAGAACATATTTCATGTGAAATCCTAGATAATGGATTTTTGCATTTTATTAATGTTTTAATGTTTTTGCAGGAACACTAAAAAGAGTGCGTGTTCAACAGTGATCAAGAGGCTATGATTAAAGTTTTATTTGAACGGTGAGGATAAACTAAATTTCTTTACTCATACAGGCCTCCTATCCTTGATGTGATGTCCCAAGATCTTTGTTCACTGTTAAATCTTACTGGCTTAACTAGTTAGTATCCACATAAACTGATTTCTTCTTTGTCCACTGGGTATCCTTAAACAATGGGGTAGGTTGGCACTATAACCATCCTTTTATGTCTTAAATATACCTCAAAAGAATCACTCTCAGCGGGGGTTAACTTTATTATATGTTAAAGAATAATTAATTTGGGTTTTTCACTGACAGGTACAAAGTCATAAGAGTGTACTATAGATTGCAATATGCAGTTGGATGGTGGAAAAAATTCCCGCTGCCCAGGTCTCCCGTAAACTCAAGCAACTTGGTTTGCGTCCTCACCAGAAGAGGTCTGAAGCCCAAATGCCTTGAGAGATGAAGAACCAATGACTCTCTATTGTTAAGCACAGATTGGACAAAGAACATTGCTATCACTCAGAATAGTAGTTAGATATTCATATTTTTGAATATCAAGGTTTTTTGAGTATTGGCTTTTGATCTTATGCAACCATGTTGCTCATTTGGATCAGTTTTCGTGGTCTTAGATTTCCAGCATGCATTTGCTTTTAGATATTTGGTAGATGGTGATATATGAGTTTGGAATTTTGACATAACTGGTAACTTACAAGTCACCACTTTCATGTTTTTCTTAGTCTTGTCCAGACCTTATCATACTGTATTTTTCTTTGAGCTTCTTTTTCCATCATTCCATTTGGAGTCAGTCTTTTTGCTGAATTCCATTAGTTTCTTATCTTCTAGTTGCACTAAAATTAATATACGGCTTTCATCTGGCAGTGTTTTAAATTGAGGTGTTGGTCTGGTAGAAGTTAGAAACTCTTGTTAAACGTGATACCATATGGTCATTACATCCGAGGTATTAAATGCATTTATTTATGACTTTATGATTTTTTTCTTATTGTTCATCTATCATGCATCATTTTTCAGCTCCATTAACTGTGAACATGTTTTTTTCAGACTGCTTGCATTTAGTACAATTGAGAATCATTATATTACATTCACCTTACAGATTTCTCTTCTTAATGTCTAATGCTATTTTGCAGAACTTTCTCTTATAATAATCAATCATGTAATCCTCAGAAACACCTATTCTTTGTGTTCAGATTCTTTTTTGAAATTTAGTGGGCATATTTTAGCAAAATCCTAATGAAGTATTTATTCATTTATATGTGTGTTTATATTTCCTGTATTCAAGGCATTTTTAATTCATTGTATGAAATTCACTTCCAAATAGTGGTAGAGTTTTGATGTTGCAAAGCATAGGAGACTTGAAGTTCTTTTATCTAATAATCTTTGTACTTTTAGGCGCAAAAAAGTAAGCAATGATTGTGGCGGCGGGTTTTTTTGAGGGATCGCAAGAAAAGATATGCAAGGAAAACTTCAATGATTTTGATGATGAAACCTTAAGCTCTGTTTTCAGTAAGTTGTTCTCTCTCTCTCTTTCACTCATCTATTGTTAGATTAATGGAGCTATATATGTAACTATGGTGAAGTTTTTTCATGTTTGTTGAAAATCCATAATGCAAGTAAGTTTTTCATGTGTGTTTATATTTCCAAGTATTTAGGCTATTTTATTCATTGTATGAAATTACTTCACTATGTGTAGAGTTTCTGATTGTTGCAACATAGATACTCATTATGTAATTAACCTTTGAACTTTAGGCGTAAATGCATGATGGTGGCAGCATTGTTTGTGTGAGGATTGCAAGGAAATCTGTGATGATTCTGATGATAACTAACCTGTTTTCAAGTTGTTTTCTCTCTCTCTTCACCAAATCTATTATTAGATTAATGGGCTATATTAGGTAATTATTGTGTTTATTTTTTTTTCAGTTTTCTTCTCTTTCTATTTCATAAAATTTTTAGCCATTATGGGTATATAATTATACTGTTTTGTTGATAAAACATGACTCAACATCGAACAAAATAACTGCGAAACTGCTTATCCTTAGTTCATTTTTTTACTTGATTTATGTATTTTATGATATTATCAATGGTACATGCAGATTTTTTTTTTTTTTCATTTTTTATCATTGTTCTTCTAGGTTACATGTTCTACATTGATGATATGAATGCAGGTTCATAAATGCAAGTCTTCTTACTTTCTTTCCATTTACCTAAGAAACATATATGTCAGTGGATCGTTTTGAATTTAGAAATTCATATGTTTTCTTTTGCTTTTGTTGTTACTGATATGCAGAAGAGTTACGTGTATAATGCCGGCCTTAGCAAGTTTCCATATTTGAACATAATTATTATTATTGTTTACCTATATTTTTTTTATTAGATCATCATTGTCATGCTTGTTGGACACAGGAAGTCTAGGAAGCTCCATTCAAAGCCAAGGATGACAGGCTGGAAACAATACAGGTTGAGAAGACAAATGAAGATGCTGGAAACTGTTGTACTACAATGCTATGGGAAGGTACGTTACCCATATTAATCTGGCTTATAAACTAAAGAACAGGAAAAGCAAAAATCCTAATCTAAGTGAGTTGGACACTTGGACCTTAAGGAAAAATTGTTATCCTTTTCATATACTTGGTGAATAAAGCATAATTGTTGAGAAAATAATAACTTCAATGAGATGTTTATCCTTGTCTAGTGATTTAATTAGGTTGACTTTATTTTCTCTTTCGAAGGGAGGTTGGAATCATCTAGTCAAATGGATATTGCGGAAACCAATCAAGATATCCTATTAAGCAGGCAACCAGGAAGGCACTTCAGTTTCTGAAATGAACGGCTCTAATATTTCAAGTTTTTCACCTGTCAATATGCTGATGATTTGCCACATCACTCATGGATGATGAGTTGGCAGATTCGTATGATGTTGCTGCTGTTGAAATACTGAGTAGTGCTGTAAGTAAAAGGAAGCTGAGGTGGTAATGATCCTGAGATGAGGACTAAGATGAAAGCATGATCAGTTTTTTTCTCTCAAATCTTTTAACTATCTATTCAATTTGAGAAATCTTAAGTAGCTGTTACCTTCCATAGAAAGATTGCTGGCATTCAATCTTTGAATTTGCAAGCCAAACACTTGTTCAGTTTTCAACCGCTTCTCTTTTGAAAGTTTTTTTATATCGACTAATGGGTTTTGTGTCGCCAATTTACCTGTAGGTGATCATGCAGTGACCTTCTGCGGTTTCAGCTTGCATTATATTTTGGGAGAGCTTAAATTGTGTATTATATTTAAACAGATATTGTAAGGACAAAGGGGCTTGCAGGATTGTATACTTGTAGGAGCAGATACGGGGTTTTATGGATTTTAGCATGCTGTGCCAAAGCTTGTGATGTAATTTGATTGTTTATGATTTGAAATGCTTTCTTGTACATAAGGAATTCCTAAAGATTCCAATACAATTTCTTGTAATTTGCAATCAAAGATAATTTAACTTTATCACATTCTTTTTCAAGTCAGGCTTTTAATAGCTGGCTTTTCTTATTTATGTGTAAATGTTGAAGTCATAATATATAATCATCTCAAATTACCGTCTTTTTGCATATGTACATGATGATTTATCTCGTCATTTCATATCAACTCAAGATGTAGATGTTCAAAGATTTCAAAAATGAAACTTTAATTTAATTGTACTTTTATTATTAATATATTTTCTTTGGGTTCTTTTTGAATAACTTATTGTTCATTTCCATGCTTTATTCAAATGAAGGTTTGGTGTGTTCTGATGTTTTTATGTCTAACCTAGCTATGTTCTTGTTCTAGTTCCAGACATCAATGCTTTCTTTAATCACCGTTGTGCTACTATGAAGGAAAGTGCGTTGGTATCTCATTTGGTTACACTTGTGCATGCATCAGGATTCTTAGAGAGATGCAATTCATGCCTACCCTAATGTGGTGAGGTGGTTCTACACTGTCTCAAGTCTCAAATACTTTCGAAGAAAACATGAAATCTATATTTTCCTCTGTTTATTCCATATCATTGTTTTAAACCCGGACGAGGGCAACCGTTTTACTGTCCGGGTCACGTTCAATCGGTCCCAACCGGTTGGACCGTTCGGTTGGATCGTGGATGTCAGCAATATTTTATTTTTAAAAATTACATATTAACCCCTTAAATCTTAATATATTACAAAAATCCCTAAAAAAAGTTTAATTGTCCCTAAATTTTTATTTATTCCAAAATACTCCAATAAAATTACCAATTAAATCCCTAAAGACTTTTGATATATCTTCAAATACCCCTATAAAAATAACAGTACCCTCATAATTTTAAATATGTTCAAAAACCCCCCTAAGGACCTAAACCGGACCGTAGAAGCTACCGGTTTCACGTCCAACCGGTCCGACCGGCCGGTCTGGTCCGTTTTTTAAAACCAGTTCCATATGAGTGATTTTTAAACCTTTATTTCTATATTTTTTTATATAATTTTTTAGCACCAATTCTGTGGTGTTGCTTATGTGAGACATGTTTGGCTTTTTTGGTTTCTATAATCAAGTCCACATGTTTTGATCAGCGTTGAGGACTTGATCTAGATGTTCCAATAATGTAGACTGAAAATTCGTTTCCAGTTTTCAACAAATATTATTTTTACACTATCTTATTCATTTTATCCCTTTCCGTAGTAGAAGTTCAAATATGACAACAAATAGCAAGGAGTTTAGGATAAAATTCCTAGTTCTTCAATTTCACAATCTAAGACACTGATTTGCTAATTGAGAGCTATCTGCTTCGTATATATTTTATTCAGATATTTTTGCGTCTCATAATACCCTTTTGTTTTAGCTATAAATTACAGGTGAAATTGGTATTGAATACACCTTCAGGCTCGAAGGATTAATTGAGTTGCACAATCTGCCGAACATCCCAGGGTTACCAAAAAATAATATAAAAGGAGTTATGTGAATATAAAGGTTTCTCCTAAAGTGTTACTCAAGTGTGGCAGGTATGTCTGCTTGTTTTGGGCCTGTTCATCACTAAAATTTCGCCTAATTTCATGGTCTTGCCATCCTCATTGAACCGTGAACGTGTTTTTTGTAGTCTTCATTTATATCAAGAAAGCATTACTTTACATAACAGCAGTTACTGAGAAATTGCATGTAACTGAGAGTGTTTGATTTTCAGAATTGATTTGCATGGAAAGGAAAGAAATATGAATACAATAATAATTAGAGATACTCAAAAATGCCGAGCAAGCATAATTGTTATCATACGAATTTGTTGATAACATATAATTTCATACCAGAAAGTCACTTTTACTGGGAAAAAGAAAACCATGAACAAAAACTGCGTAAGATATCCAGCTCCAACTTAACGTTGGCCAGCTTGACTTTTTAATTTATTTTTTTTCAACTTGGAATTAACACTCTTTTTGGAAACCCCACAATACTTCCCACAAAGTACACATCACGGGTTGGATTTTGGATCTAAAACATAGGATAAACTTCTTGCAAGGTTGATCTGGGGATTAACTAGTTCAATAATATTGAGTCCCAATCTCATAATCTTCGTCGCAAATGTTAAAGACCCCATACAACCAAGTGTGATCCATTTTGTTATTTACCAATGATGAACTCCATATTAAAGTTATAAGAAAGTTGTGTATTAATTTGTGATCTAATAGTACTCTTAACTATTTCGTCTATTGACATTACTGAAACTGTTTATGGTAATGGAAAACACAATTGGTAACACTATTAATATTATTCATATATAAAGAAAGTTTAGATAACCATCCCATCCCTCTTTTATTTTGATTCCATTTTTCCAACGGATTATGCCAACCAACCCAAGGCTTTTGTCACAAGCTAGTCCAAAGATGGTGATTAACATTCCAAATATTTACACTTTATATGTATACCAATTACCACCCCACTCCCTATTTTGTGCAATGCATGGTTAATTTAAGGGGATACCATTCGATAACTTCTTCATTAATTGCAAAACTCTAACATTAGACCCATATGATCCCAAAGTTAATAGAACTCAATATCCTCACATAATATTAGTCTAGCTTTAAATATTATATTCTTCTTTCTATTGTGTCACTCTCCCTTCGATTTTTCCAAGGAACGAAATCATGTTATGCCAGCCAAAAGGCTTTTCTTCAAGTCAAAGAGAGGATATAGTAATTGAAAAATAATAACACCTATTGTTTGTCACTTAACAGTAAAACCCCTATTTTTGTGTCTGTTACTTACAACCTAATTTAGAATTGCACATAGTGACTGTTTGTAACTTAAGTTTTGAATTGGTTTTAGATTTGATGTTACCAAAATCAATTGCTAGTTGAATCCAAAAAAGGGATTTAACTCAGTTTAACCATCATCTTTGTTTATCGTCTACTTACTGCCTATCCGTTTTGTCTATATGTGGAATTTGCCTTTATTGGTACTCCGATCAGGTATCGATCATAAATGTGATTAATCAGTCCATGAAAAGATATCATAATTTAAAGATATTTGATAATATTTTTTTTATTTTTTTGCTGTTTTAAGATGACTGAATTACCTTTTGGTTACATTACAAATATAATATATATATTATATATATATATATAATATATTTTTATTTTTTTTTTTAAAAGTGAAACAGACATGATCGGGTATAGGGTTCTGTATTCTCTTACCCATTTATATTCTCAACCTGTTTGATCCATACCCATTCCCGTCTTTACCTTGGCCTGTACCTGCCCTTCTTCCAGGTCTAACTATGATCCCTTATTAAATCATAGTCCTTAATTTTTTTATTTATACTGTGTATCATAAGTTTTAGTTTATTCTTTTAATCAAACTCAAATTTATTCATAATCTGTGATTGCACTTAGTTTTTTTTTGTACAAAACTTTATATATATTATTTATATATTCATTTTAAATTTTCTAATGATTTTAAAAAAATTGAAGGAAAATAATATAGAATTAACATGATTTAATTAGTGTTAAATTTTCAACCAAATGGAATTTGATATCATTCACCATAATGTTCTCTAATAATAAACCAGTCGGATCACCAATACACGTTGTTTTTTTTTTTTTACTGTAGAAACGCTTATCCTTAGGCACAAATGTGTTACGATTGCCAAGAAAGTTCATTTTCCAAGTCTATTGTCAATTGATCCACAAAACAAGACTTTGTTGTTTAAACACGTTGATATACTACTTTATATATCAATGCAGTAACTGATAACATTGCATCATAACTGAGTATTTGATTTTGAGAATGTTTGACATGGAAATGAAAGAAATATGAATACAAATTAATATGAGGATACTCAAAACAACGAAGCAGCATTAATTATTATCACACAGAATTTTGTTGATAACAATACAATTTCTTCCAGATAGTCACATTTACTGGGAAGAAAGAAAGCTATGATACTAAAACCATGTAGAGGAGACAAGGCCCAACTTAACTATTTAATTTATTTTAAGAGCAATGATGCGCTTCATCTCTTCCCACAAACTTTTTCCTCCACATTTCCAAACTAGCAGTTCACATTGGTCAATCATATTTATTAGGTGGAACCCAATAGATCTATAAAACTGATCAATTATAATTTTCATGTTCAGTTGTAAGAAAAAAATTGTGAAAAAAAGGTGATGAATGTACATTTTCCTTATCTTAATTTCAATTGGAATTACACACATACTTTTTGGAAACCCCACAATGACTATCACAAGTACGCATCACGGGTTATTAAGAACTCAATATCTTCAATAATATTAGTCTGCTTAATAATATATATATCTTCTTTCTAATTATATCATCTCTCCTTTTTCATTTTCTAAAAGGAACGAATCATGTATGCCAGCAAAAAGGCTTTTGTTCAAGTCAAAAGGATATGATTATATTGATTGTACAAATATCTTACACTTCATATTTTCAAAAGTTTTAAATTTCATACTATTAATCGACCAACATTAGTTGTGATATCATTTCACACAGCAAAATTATGGAAATGAACCTTGCCAATTCTTATCATCGTGAATCATGCTCTACGTGCATAAGACGATCTGTTTAGAAAAATAGGAGAAGCTAAACATAAAATATATTTTATCAAACCACCACAAATCCCTTTTCCAAAGTTTGTGACCTGACCCAAGGCTCCGTTAGTGGAAAACCATGGCAATATGCATGCAGAAGTATGCGATGGTCTGCGGCTCTGAGCTAATTTTCGAGATAATATCTACTTCTAGTTGTTTATTCTGTTCCTTTTCCAAAAGAGTTGTGGATTCTGACGTTATAAGTTGCAGAGAAAGAGGAAAGAGAAGCTCTACTCTATTTAAACAGGGCCTGGTGGATTATTCTGGCATTCTCTCTTCTTGGGAAATGAAGATGATAAAAAAAATTGAAAAACACAACATAAAACCGTGTAAAAGAAAGTCCGAACGCAACATAACACCGGCAGCTTGACGATTTCACACTTTACTTTTTGGAATTAACACTTACTTTTTGGAACCCCACAATGACTACCCATAGTACACATCACGGGTTGGATTTTCTATCTAACTATGATCCCTTATTAGAATATAGTCGTTAAGTTTTTTTATTTTACCGTGTATCATAATGTTTAGTTTTATCTTTTATCAAACCCAAATATATTCATATAAATTGTGATTGCACTTAGTGTTTTTTTTTTTTTTTTAACAAAACTTTAATTATTATTGATAGATATTCATTTTAATTTTCTAGTGATTTTAAAAAATTAAGGAAAACAATATAGAATTGACATGATTTCATTAGTGTTAATTTTCAATCAAGAGGATTTGATATCATTCACATAACGTATCTCTAATTAATACAGTCGGATCGCCAACGTGTATCACATTGTGTTTTTTTTTTTTTTTTACTGTGGAAACTGCTTATCCTTAGGCAAAATGTTGTGTACCATTGAGCAAGAAGTTCATTTTCCAAGTCTATTGTCAATTGTCCCACAAAGCAGACTTTGTTGTTAAACAACTTGATAATTACTTTATATTCATGCAGAATTTTGTTGAATAACAGCACATTTCATTCCAGAAAGTCAACATTTTACTGAGAAGAAAGAAGCCATAAAATATAAAACCACAAAATCACATTTACTGGGGAAGAAAGAAAGCCATGAAACATAAAACCACGTAAGAGGAAGACATGTTTCCAACTTAACTTTTATTTATTTTAAGAGAATGTACACTCACAATCTCTCTTACACCCCGACATAATAACTCACAATTAGTCATTAAATTTAGGTGGAACCCAAATGAGACTAATTAGAACTGATCATTGTGTTTGCCACGTTAGAATATTAGAGTTTTGGTGAAGAGAGGTGGGTGTAACATTTTTTTTATTTTAATTTCAACTGAGAATTAACACATACTTTTTAGAAACTCCATAATGACTATCACACAAGCATGCATCATGGGTTTTAAGACTCAATATCCTCAATAATATTAAGTCTAGCTTAAAATAAATATTATATTCTTCTTTCTAATTATATTATCTCTCCTTTTCATTTTAACAAAAGGAACGAAATCAGTATGCCAGCAAAAAGCTTTTGTTCAAGTCAAAGGATATGATTATATTGATTGTACAAATATATTACACTTCATATTTTCAAAAGTTGAATTTTATACATTTATCCAACCAACAGAGTTGTGATATCATTCTCACACAGCAAAATGATGGAAATGAACGTTGCCAGATTACTTATGCATCGTGAATCATGCCTACGTGCATAGACGATCTGTTAGAAAATGAGAAGCTAAACAAAGATTAATACGATGACAATAAATAATTTTATCAAACACCCAAATCCCTATTCCAAAAGTTTGTGGACCTACCGAAACTCCGTTATGGAAAACACATGGCATATACTGCAGAAGTATGCAATGGGTCTGAGCTATTTTTCAAGAGATAATAGCTCATTGTTACGCAGTGCTTTTTTTATAGTGATATGATGATGGCTATGTCAGGTGGAAGGTTCCTTCAACATCTACTTCCAGCTGTTTTGATTCTGTTCCTTTTCCAGCAAAGAGTTGCGGATTCTGACGTTATAAGTTGCAGAGAAGAGGAAAGAGAACCGCTGCTTGTATTTAAACAGGGGCTGCTGGATAATGTTGGCATTCTCTCTTCTTGGGGAAGTGAAGATGATAAAAAAAATTGTTGTGAATGGGAAGGAATCCAATGTCTTCAAACCGGCCATGTGTACGGACTCGCACTTAACGGAAAAAATGCATCTAACGCGCCATTTGAAGGTACAATTAATGCGTCTTTACTTAAACTGCGTCATTTAAGCTATTTAGACCTCAGTTACAATAATTTTAGTTGGAGCCCAATCCCAGAGTTCATTGATTCCCTCACCCAATTGAGGCACCTTGATCTCTCTCACGCTGATTTGAAAGGACCAATTCCCCACAGGCTGGGAAACCTTTCAAGGCTACAACTTCTTGATCTTAGCGGTAATGATGGTTTATATAACGTTGGAAACATTGAGTGGCTTTCCCATCTTTCTTCTTTGAGATATCTTGACTTAAGTGGCAGCGATCTTCGTAAATCAAATGATTGGTTTCAAGCCATTAACAAGCTCCCATTCCTCACAGATTTAAGGGTAGTTTGGTGTAATCTTCCACAGATTATGCCTTGGGCTCCCCTAAAAGTCAATGCTACTGCATCATTTGTGAGCCTTGATCTAACTGGCAACAATGTAACCAATTCTATATACCCGTGGTTGTTCAATGTCAGTAGCAATCTTAACCGACTTTCCCTCAATTTTAACGTTTTACAAGGTTCAATTCCTGAAGCTTTCGGAAATTACATGGTTTCTCTAACCGATCTCTTTCTTCAGTCCAACGAACTAGAAGGTGGCTTTCCAAAGTCCATCGGAAATATGAGTTGTCTGCATACATTAGAGTTGTCTTCCAATAATCTGATAGGACAACTCTCTGGGTTCTTTCAAAATCTATCTGGTGGATGCACAGAGAAGAAGCTGGAGTTTTTGCATTTATTGGACAACAAAATCACGGGATCCGTGCCTGATTTTACAAGATTTTCATCCTTAAAAGAATTAGGACTTGGACAAAATCGGTTAAACGGAACCATTCACAAAAGCATCGGACAAATGTTTGAGCTTTGATCTTTAGATCTTGGTGACAACTCCTTGGAAGGTGTCATTTCTGAAGACTTTTTCTTAAATCTCTCTAAATTAGAGCATTTAGATTTATCTCGTAACTCTCTTGTTTTGGAAATTAGCGATGATTTGGTTCCTGATCATTTTCCACCAATTGGGTTCTTATATCTTGCCTCTTGCAAAATGGGGCCTCATTTTCCAAAATGGCTTCGAAACTTGCAAGCATATGGGGTTCTTGATATCTCGAATGCTGGAATCTCAGATACACTACCTGAATGGATTTGGGATCTCTTGAGTTCAGTACACTTTTTCAACATCTCATACAACCAAATCAAGGGCAATCTCCCAGATTTTTCTTTACTAGGTCCGAGTGTATATCTCCAATTAGACATGAGCTCAAACTATCTTGAGGGACCAATTTTGTCGCTACCGGAGGGATCTTACATTAATCTTTCTGGAAATAAGTTTTCAGGATCAAGTTCTTTCTTATGTTCTGATCATGTCGAATATTTGATCTATCTTGATCTCTCTAATAACCTACTCTCAGGAATGCTTCCGAATTGTTGGATAGAACTTGAAGAGTTGGTTGTTCTTAATTTGGCAAATAATGGCTTCTCCGGAAAAATTCCACCCTCGATGGGCTCCCTACATAATATTCAAACATTGAGATTGAGCAATAACAACTTCTTTGGAGAGTTACCAAATTTGAGCAATTGCACCCAGTTGAGAATTTTAGATCTTCAGGATAATGCATTTGAACGAAATAGAGAAGCAACAGGAACAAAATAATAATAGTTAAACAAAACAAACAGTAAACAAAGAATGTAATACGCGCGATTTACCTTGGTTCACCCAATGTAGGCTACGTCCAGCTGAGTCAATATTATTGCAATATGCCTCACCTCTCTCGTTTACAATGAATGAATTGTTCTCACACCCATAACAAGAGAAAAGTATGTTTATATACTAGGTTTAAGAGATTAAACCTAGTTTTACAAGAATTCCTATTCCTAAGCCCAACCCAAAAAGGAATTAATAACTTAAAAGGAATCCTACAGCGGTTATACATGGAAAAGCCCAAAACCGCCTACGGGCTCGGGGGCNCTGGCTGTCTGGCAGCAGCTATTATGTATCTGAGATGACATTCTCTCCAGCTAATTATGCAGTTCATATTATGTAATGTTAGACTTGTTTGTTATGGAAAATAAAGAAAATGAGATTGTTATCATCTTTTAAGATCAATGAATTCCAGTAATTACTCTTCAAATACGTTATTGTAGCAGAGTTTTTGTATTTATTTTATATTTAATTCAAATTAACAAAACATTTTTTTTTTTTTTTTTAGAATGAAAAATCTTTTTTAGTTAAACAAATATATTCGAAAAACTCTTTGAAGAATCACTTGACAAAATTTTTGCCATAGAACACTCTTTTACAACATCTACTTTAATGTGAAAACATCTTCTACAATCAAATTGGTTCCCTCAGCAAATTGACATACCTTTGTCTCCATCAATTAAATTGGAGCCACAAGAGCCCTATCTCCACTTTCGTTACAGTCTCACCTCAGATCTGCTTTCTCCACCTCTTCGAGTATAGCCAATCAGTTCTCATTTCTTCCAAAACCTTAACAGTTGTTCACAAGTAAATATGGACATGGAAGGCTTATCTGCGATCTGCGCCGGTCTCGGTATGGTTGAAGAGGACGAACGAGACGATCGGATTAGGTACTACAAGGGCGAGTACTGTTTAGGCAAGATTCGTCAAAAGAAAAAAAAAAATTGAAAACATGATTTATCAATTTACATTTAGAGTAATTTGATTTTCCCAAATTTTAGATAATTTAAAGCATTGGCTGATATTCTTGAAGCGTGACAATCCACAAACGCGAGAAGTGTTTAAGCAAGTATGTAAATGGAACATTGTATCTTAAGATTTGATACCGATTATTGAACACTGTCAAGATGATCTTAATTTGGTCTTAAATGCAGGTGATTGCTGTTAATTTGTTTTTGTTTATAATTTATTCAGATGAACTAGTAATGGTAATTTTCTTCCTTGGCATTTTGCAGTGAGGGTTTTGGTCTTTTTGACTATGCCGGTTGAACCTTTATTCAATGATATCCTCGACAGATAGAGTATCTATGGGGTCTGAAGTCTTCAATTACTTGTAGTGACACAATCCCGGTGATTGTATCACTTCTTGAGGGTCCCCTAGAAGAGTTGGAATGGTAAGCTTAGAATTTGGATTTGTGACGGAATTGACAAATTATTACCAATTTTGTTGTTAAATAGCGACTAATGCTCATCATGTCTCTGCTTATATGTTTAATTTTGGTGAATTATGTTGATTTGTTTTATCTGTTGTGATTATTATTGTTAATGAATAGTTATAAATGTATACAGTGAAGCATTCATGGAGGATGACTGGAAGTTGGTAAACTTAGTTCTGACTTTATTCCGCAATGTTCATGCTGTCTAAGATATTCCACAGCAGCAGAAGGCTGGGGCTTATGCTAGTCAATTCATATCCTTGAGAGATGGATTTCTGGAATTTTTGTTCAATGAGAATGTGAAGGACATAATTCTTGTGATAACTCTGCATGTTGATGGTTCTTTTGGCTATTTCGACAGGATCTCTTGCTTTTACTGGAAATTTTTCATTACATATTTATGGGTCAAGATCCCGAATTCGTTGCCTCTGCAGCTCTGCTCATCATAAGGGTTCCAAGGTGGACTACTTTATGTCTCTCTTTAACTTTTTGGCAAACGGGGAAGGTTAGACTGAATTAGCTAAAATACCTTGAATAGAGTAGTGATCAATTGGGAAGAAAACAGAACCTTTTAAATGTGTTTATGAAAGTTTTAAAATGAAACTAGAAACATGATTTGGTGTTCACAAGTTCAAAGTATATATTTGATAACAATATTTTGAAAATTGAAATAGTGAAATGCTTTTCATCAACTGTTTAAAAAAGAGTACATCAGTGAAAATGGATTCATTTTTTACTAAAAAATAACTGTAAAATATTAAAAGCATCTAAACAATGTCTTCGATCTCCTTTAAAAAAATCTGTTAAATGGATTAAAATTTCTGAATAGGTTTTTGTAAAACAACTATTATTAAGTTTTCTCTAATTTTGTATTTGAAAATTGAAAATTAAAAGTACTCTAGGAGCATTTCTATTAGACTTATTGAAATTTGCCATGAATAGATTGAGAATTTTTTTATTTTTGTTTTGAACTTTTGGAATTACTTGAGCTATGAAGCTTCTGTTCATCGACGTGACCATTGATGTATTTACTCAATTGATTGGCTTTGTAAGTCTAATATTTGGTTCTAATGACTTTTTACGCATAGATTGGTGAAGACACGAAGAATTCTCTTGATCGTCTCAAATCACTAATAGCAGAGTAAGAAGAGAAAAGAAGGCTTTCAAGACTACACCAGAAAATGGTTCGTCATTCACAGTTTAGTGGAAAATTTACAAGGCTTGCCGTGGTATGAAATTTCACTTATTACCGATGTTTATGAAGAATTCTGTACAGAATTTACTTACATTAGCAATTTTTCTTTTAAAAGGATGGTCCTAAAGCAGTGATCAAGGGGAACCCCGCTTTTGCTTCTCAGAACCCTGTGCTTAAACCTCATAAAGGTGGTAAAGGTGTAAGTAATAAGATTGTGTGGGACCATGAAAGCTGAACTTCGACAAACGATACTATTTTAGGGTTGCTCCAGGATCTTGTGGACCAGTTTCTATCAGGGCATTACAATGGTATCTATTGGGAATCTCTGTGCTTATATTCTTACACTTTTTTCTTCTCCATGGTGTTATTGCTAATATTCAGATCTAAACCAAATGTGTATCAGTTTTGATGCAATCAATCCGTGAGGATATTGAAAAGGAGCATCAAGCAATACGGACCAGTGATATTATTATTTTCTTTTGAGTTGCTAAGTTCATTACTTCATTTCAATATCACAAGATTGTTTGTTCTAAGGTGAGGGAGAAGGGTACTATATTTCTAGTTTTTGCATCTTCTAAGCTGAGGAGGATTCACTGTAGTTTTGTTGACTTGATTTGAATGTTAGTGAAAGTTGAAAATGAATCTGTGACCTTGATCCCAAGATGTGCTCTCATTTTATTTTCTTCTTTCTATGACTAATTGTCCTTGAAAAGCTTAGTTGGCTTTTTAATTATAGTTAGTGTTCATTCAATAACTGTTGGTGTGAATATTTTTTATTTAACAGCTCAATGCAGAAAGAGACACGTCTGAAGCTTCCACTACAGAATGTGCTGACAACACTTTGTTTAAAGGCAACATCTGTGGACCTATTGCATCTACAATGGGCTAATCATTGTTTCAATTGGTCATTTCAAGATGGCGTAGTGCATCTGATGGCTCGAAGGAAACAAAAAACTATAAGTTTCTATCTGCCGCGGGTTCTCTTATGAAAAATATGGTGATATATACTTCCTGGTTGACTAAAGTTATTAATCCTTGCATCTCTATGTTCCTTGTCCTTGCTTTACAAAACATTCTTGATGTCAATCATGCTCCCATATATGGCTTTTTTTTGACTTTGAATGTGCGCTAAAAGTATTTAAAATTTCTGCATGATTTTACCTTCCGAGGTAGAGTTGTTACTTGATAGTAGATTAGATTTAACGCCTTATATTTTTAACTGTTTGAATTCTTTTGCATGCATTTTTCCTATTGATCGTTGTTATGTGAACAAAGGAATTTGTATAAAATGAATTTTTCATTTTTCATTTCCTATATTTTGAAACATTTCCACAGATAGCTTTTGTTATATATTCAGAACTTGTGTAAGAGAAGTTTACGCAAGTTCTGGATAAAATGATGATGCTCTTTGTTTATTTCATATATTAAGAAGTGATCTTTTGAAGTTTCATCGTATTATAGAATTCTGATCTAGCATCCAGCATTCTATACATGAAATTTCTAGAATGAAAATTCTTGAGCAGGCATACGGTAGTTAC